TGCGAACAATGCCAGTTTAAATTGCTGTGTTCCTATCTGTACTCCCCTAATATCCGACGACTCACGAATCCGTGCCGCAAGAGGTTCAATGCAGAGAGCATACAACAATGGGGACAACGGGCAGCCCTGTCTAGTACCATTGCGTATCTGAAACGGCGTTGAAGTCGCTGTTTTCAGTTTTATAGATGCCGAGGGGGTGGTGTACAATGCGTGAAGTGCTCGGGCAAATGGGCCCCTGATTCCCATATGGGATAGTGTCGCATGTAAAAACGGCCAACTAAGCCTGTCAAAGGCTTTTTCGGCATCCAAACTGATTAACAGCGCTTCCTGTTTCTCCTTATTGATAATGTCTATTAAGTCTACCAGTCTACGGGTGTTATCTCCTGCTTGACGATTCAACACAAAGCCTACTTGGTCGGTGTGTATAAGTGTTGGCAATAATTGGGCTAAACGAGTAGCTAATGTTTTTGTAAAGATTTTGAAGTCTGAGTTGAGAAGGGCTATTGGTCTATAGTTGGCGCACATTTTACTATCTTTATCCGGTTTGGGAAATACCGTTATGTGTGAGGTTAAAAACGATGTCGGTATTGCCGCTCCGCGGAGATACCCATTAAACATGTTTGTCATATGGGGGAGAAGGACTTCAATGTATGTTTTATAGTATAAGTACGGGTATCCGTCCGGGCCTGGAGACTTGCCTGTGGGCAAAGCACGGATGACATTTCTAAGTTCATCCAGCGTGATGTCTGTGTTTAAGGCTTCCAATGCCTCTTTCGAGATTTTTGGCAGGTTACATCCCGCAAGATAGTCCTGTATTTGGTCAGTCAAGCGTGCATCGAGCGGTGTAAAGGCATTGTCTGTGAGATTGTAAAGTTCAGTATAGTACTCCCTAAACACGTTAGCTATAATGTCTGGATGATGCTGCAGCGTGCCCCCAGCGTCTCTAATTGCCGATATCCCCTTTCCACTAGCTTCCTCCCGCAACTTACGGGCCAATATAGTGTGCGCCTTATCCCCCCTTT